GACCATCACAGGCTTGTAGGAGCACCTCAGATTCTGCTATAGAGACATCATGGGTGAGGAATCTGCTGAGGGATCCTATCCAGGTTCCTTTAGCTCTGGTCTACCCTTTTGTAGAGGAGTCTGTGAAGAGTTTGCTCCTGCACTTTCTGAGTCACAACCCAGGACTTCCTAATCTAATTTCTCCTGACCAAGACATGCAAGGCACCAGCGTAGAACAGAGCAGAAACTCAGACAAGTCAACTGGGTTTCAGTGTGTTTCCACCAGTGCAGTGAGCCACTTCACGAAGGCTTTGGCAGATCTAGTGGTGAAATCACTACGTTCAACTGATGCAGTCTCTAGCAACAAGGACGATCCACTGACATTGCTAGTGACGCCTGAACAAATGGACTTGGAGAGAATTCATGACATTTCTGGAATGGACTTTGCATCACCATCACATTTAAGAAGGATTGCCAGTGATGTTGTGAGAGAGACATTGGAGAGTTTTATCATCTCCAGCCAGGAGGGTCCATCTTCCTGTTCCAGCTCCAGCCCATTAAATGACAACTCTGTCTTGAATCCAGACCCTGTGGTTTTGAAGAAGAGAAGTCGTGGGTTCCGCTTTAATATCTGTAAAATAGCTCCTGTGATCAGCTTTGGCTTTAGGGTATGTAAAAACTTTTAGAAAATAATACCTGAATCATAACACATGAACCCTATTCATATGATTTATTACATTATCAGTGATTGTGTTAAATTGTAAGACTGTATGTTTCTTTTGTAAATGCTGATTTTTTTTCTTACATGCTGATCTTTTTTTTATTAACTGTTTGTTCTTCAAGAAATTAAATAAAGTGTGTCCTGCTGGCCTGCTGTCTGACGATCATCCACCAAACTCCTCCTCTGGAAATCTTCAAGAGTGTAAGTACATGAAACAAAACACACAGAGGGCAGGTTATTCTTTCAAAGTGGACACAGTCATGATAGTGTTTTATAAGCTTTTTGTACAAGTTTGACCCATGATATCACTTCTTTAGTGTCTTAATGCAGTGCAGTGTAGAGTGTAATAAAAAGAACAAAGAAAAATATTCAAGTAATAAATCAGTTTTATCAGTTGTTGGTTCTGATTGATCTTTTTCATGTTTTGCAGCTTCGCAGACAGAATCAAAAGATTTGTTGACCCCCTTCAAGAAAACGCGCAAGCGTCTGTCCAGGATCTTCTCTGCCATCAGCAAAGCCCTGCCGAACCCCCTCAGATGCATGACCCGACCATCTTAAACACTCCTCTGCGTGTGTGTATGGCAGTATTTTCTGGACTTTTTTCATGCAAATTTGAGAATGCTAATTCAATTGTGTATTGATAACTGCATTTCCCATTTGAGAGTTCATTATTAAAGACATAATTCATATTCACCCTAACTCTGGCTGCTCAAGCACCAATGTAAGTGACATGGAGACCAGAGGCTCGCAGGACTGTCAGAAGAACACTGGTCCTGGCAGAACACGGCCCTACACATTTTAGAGCCTTCACTCCTTTAAGAAACACTCCTACAAATAGTGAAGGGCTGTTACTGAGCTGGTTCCGGTCCAAAATCATCTTTATAAGTTCCTTCAGGACCAGTGTTTGTAAACACTGTGCTAACACCCAGTGGCCCTGCGCCGCCTTAATAAGAATATCCATCACTGGCCGTCCAGCTCCTCTGACAGTCCTGTGAGCCTCTGCCTGAAGCCGGTCATGAGGTCACTAACACTGGTGCTTGTAACAGACACATGCTCTCCTAGTTGATCAAGAATCACAAGAAACAACAGGCTATCATTTTGGACAGAACTCTCCTCAGCCTGGTTGGCGAGTGTTAAAACGTCACTAGCAGTGGTTGCTAAAGCTCCAGTAGCACCAAGACTTTTTCATCAGTTCCTGATGCTGCTGCTGCTGCCACTGCTGCACAGACTCAAACTATCTAATTATAACCATCGCTTCACCTGTTTTTCCCCATTTCTATATTTTAATATTTTTTACTAACGCTGTTTGCTATCCGGTGTCGACCAGAGGAGGATGGGTTCCCCTTTTGAGTCTTGGTTCCTCCCAAGGTTTCTTCCTCTTGCTCCCAGGGAGTTTTTCCTTGCCACTGTCGCCATTGGCTTGCTCATGGGGGCTCGGACCCGGATTTTTACCTGTTGTAAAAAGCGCTTTATAAATAAACTTCCTCAATAGCAGTGCTCGCTAAAGCTCCAGTAGCACCAAAGTTGAGACTTATTCCTCATTTCCTTATAAAGCGTAAAAATACATTTTCATTTTGAAGAGATGGAGCAACGATGAGGAAATGCAATTAGAAATGTTTTTTCTTTTTTAATACGTCAAAATCAGACCACTAAGATAAAGAAAATACAACGATAAATACATTTTGCTTTTCCAAATAAACTTTTTTCCACTATTATAAACAGAAATGCAATTATAAATACACAATTTAAGTAGCATTTTCAAATGTGCATTTGAATGTGAAAAAAGCCCAGAATATACTGCTAGCATAAATAAATGCCCTTGACAGCACAATACTTTGTTTATGTGTTTTTTTATTTATGCAGCTACATTTACTTTCAATAGTGGATAAACCAAAGAAAACATCTAATCTTGTTATTGTGAATTGTCACAAGAGCTTTTAATATGTATGTGCATTATTTACTAGATTTATTAAGCTATTGGGTCCTAAACACTATAAAACATATGGAAATGTGTCCCATGTGAAAAGCTTCAATGGTGGTTTTGAGCAGTTTTAACTCGATCAAACTGAACCGTTCTGAGAATTTGGCGACTGACCCTAAACTTGTTCAAGTCTGCCACCAGAGGAGTTTCACCACATGCACATCCATGTTGGCCAGAGTTAAACTGCAGAGAATCGATGCGATGAGATCTGTCTGGTATTGTTGTGTAAAAAAAAACAGTTTTACTCAAAAAAATTTATAATGAAGCTCAAAACACCAGGATTGGCAGGAAAGACACAATTTATTTTATTAAGATTTAGACTTTCAGTAAACAAGCATTAATCTGAGTTAATCTGAGTTGTCCCAGACAGCAACTAACAAAACAGGAGAAAATCAACCTTTTTTGTACTACTTTGGGGACGTTACCCACCCCCATTTTCTCATCTCACCTGATCTGTCTTACTGTCACATGTAGCTCTGACTATATTAGGTTCTGATACATCATATTTGTTATCTATTATGTTCACAATTTTGTATATTTTACATATGGATTCTATTATATCTGTAACAATTTTGTATCTTTTACATACACTGTGTTTCTTCAGTTAGCCTTGGTCTTCTGTGACAAAAACCCTTGTTTTTTCTTTAAAAGTGCCATGTCATCCTTCATTAGCAATTTCTGTTAATTTCAATTCATTAATATACTGTTAAATAATATAATAACTGGCGTTATTACATTTGATTACCATTATCTATAAGTTTAAACACACTTTGTGTTCTTGATTACATCACATCAGTTCACATATCACTTTTCTTCATTGATCAAGTCAGTAAAAATAAGTTAGTATCTGTTGATTATCCCATAATTGTGACTGAACGACAAAGTCTTAACATGAAACATGAAAACAAAGTTATGGTCCAAAGTAGATCTGTGTGTGTGTGTGTGTGTGCGTGTGTGGCCCACACTGACACACAGAGACCTACACTCAAACACAGAGACCTGCACTCACACACAGAGACCCACACTCACACACACAGGCCCACACTCACACACCCAGGCCCACGCTCTATACGGCTCTGCTCTGACTGAGTGATGTTTCTATTGCCCCAGAAGAGAGAGGAAATAAAGAGGAAGTTAATTTCCCCCAATATATTTTATATATTACACATGACTGTGCATTATTAACACACTCATACTTCAAATAAGTAGTTATTATTTTAAAAATGTTTATTAAAAAAAATAATAAATTCCACCAAGGAGAATGGTGCCCTAGCGCCCTCTATTGGCCAGCCACTACTGGTAAAGGTTTACAACACATTATGAATTTGGGGAAAAGTAGGAGAGGAGTGCCATTTATTTTGATGAGTCCTTTCTCCTGTTTTTAATGTAGGGAGTTAGGGTAGCTTTTTGCATTTTTGTTTGTTTTTGTTTTCAGCATTAGTTAGTTCTGCTTTAGTGTCATTTACCTAGTTCAGTTTTTGCTTCTTGTTTTGGTGCAGGCTCGTCACTGAAGCCATCACCCCATTAAGCTTCCAGCTCAGCCTTGTGAAACTTACAATTGAGACTTTTAAGAAAATCTAAATGAACCTGGGCTGTTTTCTGGTTATATGGTGTCTGGTGTTTGGTCTGGCAGCAGGTCTGGGGAGGGAGCCCTTGAAATTTGCATCCAGCTAACTTTGGTCTAAGACGCTCTCTCAGAACTTTCCATTCTTGCTGTTTAGGTCATGTTAAAGTAAAACAAAAACAATAATGTAAAGTTGTTTTACGTTTATTTTATGATCACCACAGGCCCACTGAGCTAATTCCAAAACAATGCTGATTTTTTCTTATTGTTGCAGCTGTTAACAATTTGAACAAAAACAGTTGCCATGGAGCTTAGATCTTCTGAATCTGATAGGCTAAGCGGGAGTAGCTTTTATGAGTGAGGTAACCTGTCTCCTTTCTTTGTTACACACTGGCTACTTTGTCAAGTACACCTCCTCATTTCTACCATGGACTGTTTATACAGTCTATGATTTCTACACTCTGTCCTTTTTATCAGCTCCACTTACTATATAGGTTTACTTTGTAGTTCTACAGTTACAGACTGTAGTCCATATGTTTCTCTGCATACTTTGTTAGCCCCCTTTCACCCTGTTCTTCAATGGACAGGACCCCCACAGAGCAGGTATTATTTGGGCTTTGAATCATTCTCAGCCGTGCAGTGTCAACTGATGTGGTGGTATCATGTTAATGTGTGTGTTACACTGGTACGAGTGGATCAGACACAGCAGTATAATTATAACAAAAGTTATCAACAAAAAAATGGGGGGAAACATGTACAGAAGATTTTTTTATTTTTCAAACAAGACTTTTTTGGGAATGATAACACAAAATTAATGGTTGAAACAGTTTGAATTAGAGTTACTCATGGTCCACCAGTCTCGTCAGTGCATTTATTCAGTTCTCCTCCTTTCTGCTTATTTCAGCATCTGCTGCTGTCTCATGTTCTGCTATACGGTCCTCCAGCCCCTCTTGTGGCTGGTCACTTGCATCTGCAGATTCAGTAAAAGTCTGCTCCATTGGTTCCTCTGCCTTTTCCTGAGGAACGTCGTTGGGCCCTGGGTCAGCTTCAAGTGCTTTAATCTGCAATGTTCAAAATTCAGTGTTAGCCCATGAACTGGTGACGCATGTTCACTGTAAACTTGAATGCAACTACAAGGATGGGGCAGATTCTGAGGAGAACCTTACTTGTGTTGTGGCTTCATCAGCTACCTCCAGACATTCTGGACCAGCCTCTCCTTCCTCCATAGGTTCCTCCTCTTCCTCCCTTCTGGTCAATCCTAACTGAGGTGCTGGCTCATGAGCAGCAAATACAGTTGGGGCTGGAGTTTCTGCTTGTGCTACAGGCATCCCAACTTGCTGGAGATGCATCTAAAATAAAGAAAACAAAAGCTTTTAAGTAGACATTCAAGTGATTTTTTTTCTCTTTTATAAGTGGGATATGAATTCCCCTTATGTTATCCATTTATCCTTTTAGATTAGTGTTAAGGTTTGACCTCTCTCTCCTCCACTGCCTCCACGTGGTCAGGTTCGGGCTGTGGCTCAGGCTCCTGCATTCTGTTGGTAGCTTCCAGAATAGCGATGATGGAGGATGGGATATGGGCTTGCTACAGAGACACAGACGGGGTGGAAAACATGTTTTAATGTGCACTAAATAAATACAACTATAACTTAGTGTCCTGAAATGTATGCACAAAACATTTATAAAAACATTTGTTTGCATTTGTAGAATTCAATCTTTCTACCCGATATCATGGTTGCCTCTTTTGAACATCATAATGTACAAACCATCAGAAGACACCTAGAAACATTCTGAAGATTCTTTCAGCTGCTTGCAGCAGACTGGACTGGGTAGCAGTGAACTGCTGACTAGGGATGGGGCAGTTTCCAGTTTTAATGACATATTGTGGTATAAAACCCAACAACAACTATATTATTTCAAATTTTAATAATTCAGATAAATGCATACAATTATGTCTTTTTAAAGATTTATGATGAAATTAAATAGCCTACTCTTACATCCTCTTTGTAAAGTGCACACCACAACAATGCAGAGGTAATATATAGTGCCAGAGGGCAGCTGTAGTGCTCTGGAATTGTTTCACCCAGTGAAAAGTCTAAAATGTGAACATGACTGATTTTTTTTGTAATGCTAAAAGGTTGCTGATTGAGAATAAGTACCCAATCTACAGAATATGCATAAAGAAAGATTTCTGCAAAGGAGGGAAACAGTTATTCAACCACACACAAAGTTCAGCACACAGTAAACAGCTGTACTGTGTTGTGTAAAAAAAAACAGTTTTACTCAAAAAAATTTATAATGAAGCTCAAAACACCAGGATTGGCAGGAAAGACACAATTTATTTTATTAAGATTTAGACTTTCAGTAAACAAGCATTAATCTGAGTTAATCTGAGTTGTCCCAGACAGCAACTAACAAAACAGGAGAAAATCAACCTTTTTTGTACTACTTTGGGGACGTTACCCACCCCCATTTTCTCATCTCACCTGATCTGTCTTACTGTCACATGTAGCTCTGACTATATTAGGTTCTGATACATCATATTTGTTATCTATTATGTTCACAATTTTGTATATTTTACATATGGATTCTATTATATCTGTAACAATTTTGTATCTTTTACATACACTGTGTTTCTTCAGTTAGCCTTGGTCTTCTGTGACAAAAACCCTTGTTTTTTCTTTAAAAGTGCCATGTCATCCTTCATTAGCAATTTCTGTTAATTTCAATTCATTAATATACTGTTAAATAATATAATAACTGGCGTTATTACATTTGATTACCATTATCTATAAGTTTAAACACACTTTGTGTTCTTGATTACATCACATCAGTTCACATATCACTTTTCTTCATTGATCAAGTCAGTAAAAATAAGTTAGTATCTGTTGATTATCCCATAATTGTGACTGAACGACAAAGTCTTAACATGAAACATGAAAACAAAGTTATGGTCCAAAGTAGATCTGTGTGTGTGTGTGTGTGTGTGCGTGTGTGGCCCACACTGACACACAGAGACCTACACTCAAACACAGAGACCTGCACTCACACACAGAGACCCACACTCACACACACAGGCCCACACTCACACACCCAGGCCCACGCTCTATACGGCTCTGCTCTGACTGAGTGATGTTTCTATTGCCCCAGAAGAGAGAGGAAATAAAGAGGAAGTTAATTTCCCCCAATATATTTTATATATTACACATGACTGTGCATTATTAACACACTCATACTTCAAATAAGTAGTTATTATTTTAAAAATGTTTATTAAAAAAAATAATAAATTCCACCAAGGAGAATGGTGCCCTAGCGCCCTCTATTGGCCAGCCACTACTGGTAAAGGTTTACAACACATTATGAATTTGGGGAAAAGTAGGAGAGGAGTGCCATTTATTTTGATGAGTCCTTTCTCCTGTTTTTAATGTAGGGAGTTAGGGTAGCTTTTTGCATTTTTGTTTGTTTTTGTTTTCAGCATTAGTTAGTTCTGCTTTAGTGTCATTTACCTAGTTCAGTTTTTGCTTCTTGTTTTGGTGCAGGCTCGTCACTGAAGCCATCACCCCATTAAGCTTCCAGCTCAGCCTTGTGAAACTTACAATTGAGACTTTTAAGAAAATCTAAATGAACCTGGGCTGTTTTCTGGTTATATGGTGTCTGGTGTTTGGTCTGGCAGCAGGTCTGGGGAGGGAGCCCTTGAAATTTGCATCCAGCTAACTTTGGTCTAAGACGCTCTCTCAGAACTTTCCATTCTTGCTGTTTAGGTCATGTTAAAGTAAAACAAAAACAATAATGTAAAGTTGTTTTACGTTTATTTTATGATCACCACAGGCCCACTGAGCTAATTCCAAAACAATGCTGATTTTTTCTTATTGTTGCAGCTGTTAACAATTTGAACAAAAACAGTTGCCATGGAGCTTAGATCTTCTGAATCTGATAGGCTAAGCGGGAGTAGCTTTTATGAGTGAGGTAACCTGTCTCCTTTCTTTGTTACACACTGGCTACTTTGTCAAGTACACCTCCTCATTTCTACCATGGACTGTTTATACAGTCTATGATTTCTACACTCTGTCCTTTTTATCAGCTCCACTTACTATATAGGTTTACTTTGTAGTTCTACAGTTACAGACTGTAGTCCATATGTTTCTCTGCATACTTTGTTAGCCCCCTTTCACCCTGTTCTTCAATGGACAGGACCCCCACAGAGCAGGTATTATTTGGGCTTTGAATCATTCTCAGCCGTGCAGTGTCAACTGATGTGGTGGTATCATGTTAATGTGTGTGTTACACTGGTACGAGTGGATCAGACACAGCAGTATAATTATAACAAAAGTTATCAACAAAAAAATGGGGGGAAACATGTACAGAAGATTTTTTTATTTTTCAAACAAGACTTTTTTGGGAATGATAACACAAAATTAATGGTTGAAACAGTTTGAATTAGAGTTACTCATGGTCCACCAGTCTCGTCAGTGCATTTATTCAGTTCTCCTCCTTTCTGCTTATTTCAGCATCTGCTGCTGTCTCATGTTCTGCTATACGGTCCTCCAGCCCCTCTTGTGGCTGGTCACTTGCATCTGCAGATTCAGTAAAAGTCTGCTCCATTGGTTCCTCTGCCTTTTCCTGAGGAACGTCGTTGGGCCCTGGGTCAGCTTCAAGTGCTTTAATCTGCAATGTTCAAAATTCAGTGTTAGCCCATGAACTGGTGACGCATGTTCACTGTAAACTTGAATGCAACTACAAGGATGGGGCAGATTCTGAGGAGAACCTTACTTGTGTTGTGGCTTCATCAGCTACCTCCAGACATTCTGGACCAGCCTCTCCTTCCTCCATAGGTTCCTCCTCTTCCTCCCTTCTGGTCAATCCTAACTGAGGTGCTGGCTCATGAGCAGCAAATACAGTTGGGGCTGGAGTTTCTGCTTGTGCTACAGGCATCCCAACTTGCTGGAGATGCATCTAAAATAAAGAAAACAAAAGCTTTTAAGTAGACATTCAAGTGATTTTTTTTCTCTTTTATAAGTGGGATATGAATTCCCCTTATGTTATCCATTTATCCTTTTAGATTAGTGTTAAGGTTTGACCTCTCTCTCCTCCACTGCCTCCACGTGGTCAGGTTCGGGCTGTGGCTCAGGCTCCTGCATTCTGTTGGTAGCTTCCAGAATAGCGATGATGGAGGATGGGATATGGGCTTGCTACAGAGACACAGACGGGGTGGAAAACATGTTTTAATGTGCACTAAATAAATACAACTATAACTTAGTGTCCTGAAATGTATGCACAAAACATTTATAAAAACATTTGTTTGCATTTGTAGAATTCAATCTTTCTACCCGATATCATGGTTGCCTCTTTTGAACATCATAATGTACAAACCATCAGAAGACACCTAGAAACATTCTGAAGATTCTTTCAGCTGCTTGCAGCAGACTGGACTGGGTAGCAGTGAACTGCTGACTAGGGATGGGACAGTTTCCAGTTTTAATGACATATTGTGGTATAAAACCCAACAACAACTATATTATTTCAAATTTTAATAATTCAGATAAATGCATACAATTATGTCTTTTTAAAGATTTATGATGAAATTAAATAGCCTACTCTTACATCCTCTTTGTAAAGTGCACACCACAACAATGCAGAGGTAATATATAGTGCCAGAGGGCAGCTGTAGTGCTCTGGAATTGTTTCACCCAATGAAAAGTCTAAAATGTGAACATGACTGATTTTTTTTGTAATGCTAAAAGGTTGCTGATTGAGAATAAGTACCCAATCTACAGAATATGCATAAAGAAAGATTTCTGCAAAGGAGGGAAACAGTTATTCAACCACACACAAAGTTCAGCACACAGTAAACAGCTGTACTGCAAGTGACAATTCATATTTCTTCAAATTGTGAAGAATTTATCATTTCTTGTTTTACTAAATAGTCTCGGTTACATGTGGTAAAATCATTTCAATGTATACTTGATGTGCTTTACGAAAAAACATTTTCAGTATGTTTTAACAAGACATTTGAGATACTTTGGTTACCCAAAACACTGACATTGTCATAACATCTCATTCCTGACATTTTTTTTCTTTTTTTTTACCTGGTGCGGGGTGAAAGAGCGGACGTGTTGCAGGAGAGGCTCCCTCATTTCCGGGCAGCGCTCAAACACACTGGCCAGCTGTGCGGGCGGCAGCTGCAAGAGCACAGTGTAGGACTGTGGCTTGGTGCGCTGGCAGCACTTCACAAAGCCTTCCCACACCTTGGGATACTTCCACACCTACACACACCCAGGAAATTAACAGCAAAGGCTTAAATAAGCACACGGTCAGACTAGCATTATGTAAGAAGAAAGTGTTCAGTTGTGAAAGAAAAAATAATTTGTCGTTTTATTTTTTTATGAAGCCAAAACCTCCACTATGATTATCTTTAACCAGCAAACATGGCATATATCAAGCATAAACACCAAGAAATGGATATATTGTCCATTAAGTCCATTAAAACTGACAACAGAAACGTTAGCAATTTCATCATTCAATGCTTCCCTTCTACCATAATAAGGAGTCCTAAAGAAGCTTTATGGAACATTAATCATGAGTCTGCACCACACACCTGTTTGGGGATAAGGCGGGTGAGGATGTTCATGACGAAGCCGCCCAGGCGGGGGTACATTGTGAGCGACTGGATGACTGTGCGCATGAACAGCATGGGGAGAGAATTCTGATCCATCAACTGCTGCATCACCACAGCCAGGACCTCTGACGTGTACACGTTCTTCTCACCGAAGCACAGGTTTGTGGCTTTGGGAGCACATGTGTGCAAATAAGAGTGATATTCAGAATCTAGTTTATTTAAATGCTACAAAGTATTTTAAGTACAATGGCAAAATTGCCATCAAGCTAAATGTAACTACTTCCAGTAACGTATCCAGTGTGGCTGAAGGATTTTAAGGATTCCATCAACAACTGAAATTAAGGTTTTTATGCAATGTTCAAAACGTCAAATCAAGGTGTGGCATTAAAAACAGTTCAATACCACAGCCATGCCAACAAAATATGAAATGGGGAGAAAGAAAAAAAACCCAACAACATTAGCTTACTAGGCTTAATTAGTTTGAAAGAAACTGAGATTTCCTTCTTTTGCCACATCACTAAACACTACTATCCAACATCAGTTGTGAATCCAACATGGTTGAGAAGCTTATATAAACAGAGCTGTTACCTTTGATGATGGACTTCATGTCACACTTGGTGGAATCGATATTGTGGAGCGAGATAAGGAGCTCACCAGGGGTCAGAGGAGACATAGAGGAACTACCCTCACCTGGAGAGTGGAGACATTGTGCAAGAAGTCACAGAAATGTAATTGTAAAAGACCAAGTAAATCAAGCTAAAGTAACAAGAAGCCTCTAGAGCACCACTACAACAAAGCAAGTGAACCAGCAAAGAACCATTTCCTTTATAACACCAAAAGACTAACACATCCTTACTGTGCTGTGTGCCCAGGAGGCGGTTGAAGACTTCCTTGACTACTATGGGGTTGAGCTTAATGAGTTTGGGCAACGCCTGGATCACCTCTTTCTGTTGAACACAGCCAAACTACCATTAGGAGAGCTACTACTCAACACTACAGCCATAAGTTAAAAAAGATATAACCTCTATTGAGGAGCACTGGCATTCAGTTTGAAACTGCGCGTAAAGACAAAATGTTAAGAGGGAAGACTGTTGCACCTCACCTTCTCTAGGCCGTTGATGACCGGGATAAGGAAACGAACATCTGGCACTCGTTTGTGATAAAGATCCCTCACTCTCTCCACCAAGTCTGGAGATGGAGGCACTGCAGAGAAAGAGGCAAACTAAAAAGACTGCCTGCTACAGATTAGGAGCAATACCACAGGCGTAACACGTCCTCCAAGTTGCTATGGATAAAAGCGTATGATACACAACAAAATATCCTTAATTTAAATGCCATGATTGTACCTTTGTCAGTCAGAATGTGGAGACAGCGAGTGACCAGAGTCTCTGCCCCCTTGGGACAGTTCTCCACCAGCAGCAGCAGATCAGGAGAATTCATACCCATTCCTCGGATCTGAAGAGCAAAAGTAATAGAACAATTATAAACGAAACACCTAAACAGGTATAACTTTGCTGCAAAAAAACAAAAACAAAAAAAAAACCTGGTACAACACTCCATGGATTAAGTATCGCACAATGTCAAGTGTCTGACTAAACAAGAGGGTAAAGAAAGTGGGAGGAAGTAGGTGGAGGAGTGCATAGAATGACAGAATTACAGTACAAGCATAGCATTACAGCAGCATTAAAAAGACAGGAGCATTGGAGAGAAGAACAGAGTGAGAGAGTAAGGAGGACTTACAGGCTGCTCTATGACACGGAGCACGCTGCGTTTTATGTCAGCGATGGCCTCGGTGTAGACGGCAGCTAGCTCATGAACCAGGCGATGGTTGAGAGGTAGAAGGGAGAGGTACAGATAAAGGCACTGCCTCACTGTTTCCTCTGTCCAAGGAGATGCCACCTCTGGAGACAAAGCAAAATTTTCAAGGATTACTTCACCCATAATGTAAATGTTAATGAAGAGTTTTATTTGCATTTTCATACAAAAGTCCCCAAAATGCAGGAAAGTCTCTGAAACACTGAATGTTCGAGGCCAGGACTTTGACCTCACACCTGGATTATATGACAGATGTATGTGAATGTCAGAGATGTTTCTCCAAACCTGTGTCATCTCCAACTCCAAACAGTAATGAAGGAGGGTTTGGGTGCACAAGCAGCTGCATGTAGTTCAGAGCAAACTTCTCGATGTATTCTCTCAGGTGATCCTTCTCATACAAACGCTTGATGAAGGTGAGGGCAGTGGAGCGCACCTAAAACACATGCAAAGTAACAATCAATCACCATACAGACATTTGAAGCCATTTAAGGGGAAAAACAAATCAGTATTAAGGAAGCTAACCTTCTCTTTCTCGTGAGAGCTAAGGTCCAGCAGAACGTGAAGGTACTGGAACTGTCTGGAAGGGCGTTTGAGTATGAGCTCTTTCAGAGTGGTCATGCCCAGGTAAACGCGAGACTACAACACAAACACACACAGTAACCACCCAGAATCGGATGCTACTATGGAAAACTTTTACATGCTATAAAAAAAAAGCCAATATTAAAGCCATTCAAAAAACACATCTCATGTATGCATTGCAATCATCTGCTCTGACTGAGAGGTCTGTTATGGTAATTTGTCTAACCTCATCTTCACAGTAGCGTCGGATCACCTCCAGAGCAGACTCTGTAATCAGAGGAGCTTCCAGCACCAGCTTGGTAAACAGCCTAGAAGAACAGAGAACACACTGGGGGTAAACACAGGGTAACAAACAGACATTTCATTCATGCAAATAAAATAACGACAAATTAGGGCAATGCTTCTGTGAATCAATTTCCAGAAATCTTGAATAACTAGTAGACAACAGGGCTAATTTCATGATTGGGCATTTAAGAGCCATTCAATGATGTTTTGAGTTCTGGCATGATGCAGATCTTCACTGCTATTCAGTTCAGCATCTTGTGATTGTCATGTTATTTATTTCAACATGTCATTTTTGTGAAATTATCAGAAAAACAGCATTATGTCTATGGGGAAAACAGAGTAACACTGACCATGTGTAACTATTAAATGGTTTATTCAAGGGACATTAGACAGACATGTAATGTATCAAACAGCAGAGATGTAACTGCTGCAACAACTATGGTTGGAACAAAAAATGTGAATTTTTTGAATAAGATGCTTCATTTGTATTCACTGCCTTGGATGACCAACTATTTTGGTGTTGAGCGTGTTGGATTCTTTGGTACAGACTAGATCCCACATACTGAAATCATCTTAAAGGTTACTTTTTGGTATTTTTTTTTTTTTTATTGTCAGCTTTCAATGGTTTTCAGCCAGGTATTTGTATTCAAGTGCATCAGTCGTTATGAGAGGAACCATTTACACAGTAGTGCACTTCAGACAAAAGTACATTAAAGCCTCTGCTACAAAAAACTGCTACATTTGAAAATATTTCAAAATTGACACAGTTGAAGCACCACATTCTGACTGATGTGTCATGATGCATCACCTATTATTAATCTATACTCAGTTATTGAGCTATTCCTGAGTCCATGCAACTTACCCATCTCTCTGTTCTGGTCGTTCCTGCAGGCCAGACAGCAGGGCGAAAAGGCAGTGTTCATAGCTGTCCAGTGAGCTCGAGGGTAGCTGGCTCAGGTACTGGTTGTATTCCTGGTACAGCAGAGAAAAAGCCAGGTCACTCCGGGCCCGCATATCCTCTAGGATGAAACGCAGCATGTCGTCCTTCATCGCCCCTTCGAACTGTGTCATTAACCTCGCCAACAGCTTCACACGAACCTGGAAGACATCGGACAACTTGGAGTAAACAGAGCATGCATTGTTTTCATATATATATATATATATATATATATATATATATATATATATACACACACAGACACACACACACACACACACACACACACACAAGCCACTTACTTGTGACATTCCACTACGTGCAATGGCTTTCTCTGCTTGAAGGATGCGTTTGACAGCCATATTTGTTAACTTTTCAAGCTGTGAATCAGACAAGGGCTGGACTACATCAGCTAATCTGAAGACTTTTTTTCGTCCACTGCTCCCAGGTGCTCTGTTCACAAAAACAAATATGGAGAATTAATAAAGGAACATATAAGAAAATCAAAATCAACCATCTCTGTAAAAATTGCTTAATGAAATGAGAAGTTTAGAAATTTGTACTTCGGCTGTGTGGAGGGCATTATGGGTTCTGGAAGTTTCTTGGCCTGAGGCGTCTCCTCGGTAGCTGGGCTCTTATAGGCCCCCACCACAGAGATGGCCTGTCCCAGAGACACAGCAGAAACTTTCCGGATAATGATGGGGTCTTTGGAGCTAGACTCCTCCACTCCGGCTTCGCTCTCTCCCTCTTTTCCCTCCTCATCTCGTGCCCTGCACTGCTCAAGACCTGGGAACAAAAGGAAGAAAGAAGAGATGATTTGTTACTGCAGAACAGTGTAAGGCGACATTTTCTTTGTCACTGAAAATGTTGATTATGGAAAAAAGCCCACGTTATTTACTTAATAACAAAAACTGTGATATTCTACAATATTCATATAATACATGCAGTTATTCCAAGAGATTACAGGAAGTATTAAGAGTAATATAGCTTTTACTGTTGCACTATAAAATGCACAGATGAAACTACAGATGATGGCAGTTCTGTGATGGGGCAAAGTAAGATCAATGATTATAATGATTATATCAGTTGATTAATTGATCCAGACAGGAGATGGATTAATCAAGTACAAAAAGGTCACTGATTGAATCTAGTGATGGCATCAAAGTTGACAGGTATCACTACCAGCCCAGTATCAGCAGAAAATGCTTGACTGGATACTGATGGCAAAATACATTAACATAATTCAATCATTTAACAAATCTAGTCTAAAATACCCAACACTCACATTTTGTGATGTCATATTTTAAGCTATGTATTTCTTCCTGCGGGGCTGTACAGTGTTTGACTACGAACTACAAAGAAAGATTTGGAAGTTTTTTGTTTGTTTGTTTGTTTTTTAAACACAAAGTTTCAATATCGGTATCGGAAAAGAAAAAGTGGGATTGGGCCAACTTTAGCTGCAGTCCAAAAACAGTGCAAAATGACTAAGTGACAACACCAGTGTCTCTCTACACCTCACCTGGCCCAAGCCCAGCTGCAGTCATCTGTGTGGCCATGAGCCTGGCCAGATGTTTGATCTGGGCATCCGTGCCTGCTGACTCCACTGGTGTGTAGGTGGCCTGAAAGGAGGCTGGCATGGCTTCGGGCAGGTAAACCATACTAATGAGCACCTGCAACAGGAGAAACGGCAGCACAAAGAGACTACAAATAAGTAATGTGAGATTAATTATCTAATGTGAAACAATGTGTTGGTCCATAAAATAGCATGAAAAATTCTCTGACCACTTGAGGCATACAAAAATGCTTAAAGCACGCAAAAATATTTAAAACTCATTCTCACCTAAACAAAATTTGTGAAGTCACAAGATAGTTATGAAACTAGTTATGAATGAAGCAGTAGAGCATACCAGGTTGGCTACGTTTTCCGGTGTGAGCAAAGGGAGCAGGAACTCAGCAGTGAGGTCTATGGCCGACTGTGTGCCTGTGGTGGATGAAGGCTTGGGCACAACAACAGGAGCTGGTTCTTCTTTATCCTCATCATCCTCAATCAGTGTGGGTTCTGTGAGACCAGCAGAAAATTGTTATATTTGAACTGAGCAGTCATGAGCTACACAGTGAGAAGAAACAAGATCCAGATCTTAAATATACAATTTTAATATACACAAAAATTAATCACGCTCTGTACTGTAATGCCTGGATTTCAGTGTTTTGTCACTGTGGCTGTTAGGAAAACTGTTGGAAAAACTCTTGACAAAACTTTACACCAACTGCTGTGGTGTGCTGCTGCTGCTGCTCTGTTGAAAACAATGCAATACTCGGTTTGTCACCCACTGTTAGTGTCATAATGTAAACATATCATTAAGGCATGCAGTTAGCACAATGTTAACTGGTATACGATTCAATTACTTGTTAGATAGGTACAGTTGCCACATAGCTCCAGCGTAAAACTGAAGATACAAATTTCAGACACCAAACATATTTTGAGTGATCAACTACATTTGATATCCCATTCTAAATCCATAAGCATTACCATGGAGTTGGTCCCCTCTTTGCAGCTATAACAGCTTTCACCTTTCTGGGAAGCTTTCTACAAGATTTTGGAGTGTGTCTGTGGGTATTTTTGCCCATTTATCCAGAAGAGCATTTGAGAGGTCAGATACTGATGTTGGGCGAGAGGGCCTGGCTCACAATCTCCATTCTACTTCATCCCAAAGGTGTTTGATGGAGTTGAGGTCAGGGCTCTGTGCGGGCTAGTCAGGTTCTTTCACACCAAACTCACCCAGCCATGCCTTTATGGATCTTGCTCTGTGCACTTGGGAACAGTCATCCCAAACTGTTCCCACAATGTTGGAAGCGTACAATTGTCCAAAATGTCTTGGTTTGCTGAAGCATTAAGATTTCCCTTCACTGGAACTAAAGGGTCGAGGCCAACCCCTGAAAAACAACCCCATATCATTATCCCTCCTCCACCAAACTTTACAGTTGGCACAATGCAGTCAGGCAGGTAATGTTCTCCTGGCATTCACCAAACCCACTCTTCCAACAGACTGCCAGATAGAGGAGTGTGATTAGTCACTGCACAGAATATGTTTCCACTGCTCTAGAGTCCAGTGACTGTGTGCTTTACACCACTCCATCCGTCTCTTGGCATTATGCTTGGTAATGTAAGGCTTATGTGCAGCTGCTTGGCCATGGAAACCCATGCCATGAAGCTCCCAAAGCACAATTTTGTGCTGATGTTCATGTTAAAGGAGGTTTAGAACTCTGCAGTTACTGAGTCAGCAGAGCGTTGGTTGCTTTTATTCACTATGCGCCTCAGCACTTGGTGACCTTGCTCTATCTAACTTTACATGGTCTGACACTTGGTGGCTGAGTTGCTGTGGTTCCTAAATTCATCCACTTTTCAATAATATCACTCACAGTTGATCATGGAATATCTAATATCTAGGAGGGAAGAAATTTCTCAAACTGACTTGTTGCAATGGTGGCATCCTGTTACAGTACCACGCTCAAATTCGGTGAGCTCTTCAGAACAACCCATTCTTTCACAAATGTTTGTAAAGGCAGACTGCATAGCTAGGTTCTTGATTTCATACACCTATGGCAATGGGACTAATGAAATACCTGAATTCAATGATTAAGAGTTTTGTCCTGTTATTTTTGTCCATATAGTGCATTTCCCTAGTTGATTTTGACAAATTAGACCTTTGGTCAAACCATTGATTTTAGAGTATAAAGCCATTGTATAATAAACATGACCTCTCTACTCACCTATCTTTATCCTCTTGCCCTCGCTGTAGGGCTCATGGCGGGGTCTCTTGCGGGGCTGGGCAGCAGCAGGTGCGCAGCGGGCTATGTCACCCTGGGCCATGCCCAAATCCAGCAGCAACGTGGAGATCTGGCTGTGGAAGTCCACACTGCTGGGGTGTCGCAGTACAGACACCAGGTGCAGCTTGAGGTTCTTCCGCACGCTGCTCACCTGAGACTTGGCCAGTGTTGGGGGCAAGTTTGCTGGGAAAGGCAGAGGTCAGACGGTCACAAGTCCAGCAGTGACCGAGTGCTCATTTATGGATGGTGTGCTAACATGTTAAAAAGCCCATGCAAGACAGAGATAGAGTTTTCAAAATATTTAATGAACTAGTTATGTGATTTTAAGAAACTACTTATTTAGAAAAGCAAACCTTTAACTACTTTTAATCAAAACTACTACAAATTTTAAATGATAAAATGACAGCAGTTGGCAATCATTTAATGAATGAAATTTAATATAATGAAATTGTGCACAACAACTACTACACTACAAGCTAGAGATGTTCATTTTACTGTTTATTAGCAAACTATTTCTTGTATCATACTATCATATGCAGTATTGCCCTGACTCCTACCATCATCTCAATGATTTAAATCTACACTCACCATGCAGAGTCTCGTAGGCCTGCACCACCTCAGACATGAACATGGGCCTTTGCCGGGCCAGCGTGGCCAGTGAGCCCAGAGCAGTGGTCAGATTAATGCTGGAGATAGCGGGGTGTACCATGAACTTCAGGAGCTTATCTAGGGCTGACTTCCCCTCCTCAGAGAGAACATCTGGGGGGGGGAAAAGAGGATAACTAAAACAAAACAACAATAAATAAAAGATTATGGCATCCTCAAGTAATGCAACCATTTTTCCCCAGCACAATGCAAGACAATGCGGCCTGTTGGCTGATGTAATAGATTTTGCACTCAGCATTCCTCCTCTAAGTGTGCTGAGCATTTTATGACAGGAGGAAACCTAGCTAGTGAGTGGAACTGGCAATAAATTGGAGAAAAAATTGTTTAAAAGCAACAAAAGAAACAGTGCCAGCATTTTGGGATATCAGTTCTCCTCATAGGAGGAACACCCAAAAACAAGACCGATTTATTCACTAACTCACTAATCATCTAAGCCGCTTATCCCCCCTGGGTTGCGGGTAGGGGTAGGGGGAAAAATTGATTCTTAGATGCATCATGATGCGGATGTGGACGATGCTGCATCAATTAACAAATGTCAAAAATCGATTTTCTAAATCTTAATCGATAACGTAATGTTGAGGGAACGCACAAGGTGGAACTTGGAAGTGCAGCGCCCAGACAGTCTGTGGCGTGCACACTACATTAAGACCTAGCGCAGGGGTCGGCAACCCAAATGTTAGTAAGAGTCGTTCTGTCCCTTCAACAAAAATCAAACCACCTTGGGAGCCACCCTTTTTATCATCTTGGCTGTACATGTCTCAGTACATGCTTATGTCCTAATACAGACTAAAAATATAATACAAACAAAAATGTAAACTTACTTTGCTCTGCTTTAAGCTTTAGCTCAGCTGTAGCTGCTTTTCTTGCACCACCAGCAGGAAAATTTTCCACAAAAGTAGGACAGTTTCTTGTAAAATATCTCAAGGTTCTGCTTTTTACAAGGCTGGTATCAGCTACCCACTGTGCCACCCCTGATTTATTCACTAAAACATAATTTAATAATTATGCAAAAAATGATGTCCAATGTCCATCTCTACTTACCGTAGCGAATGTATGAGTGGTCTTTTGGGAGCCTGTCAAGGCTGATGTCCCCCTCCTGCTTCTTAGGTACATCTGAGTCGGGCGTTCGTGGTGACAGGGTGATGATGAGGGATTCAGTGAATTTGATGGCGTGGGTGCGAACTCCATCATTGTCTGAATCAAGCAGAGCCAGAACCTCCTCCTTCATATGGGTCACCATATCCCAGCATGCCTCCTGCATTTCAGATACACTTTTCGAGCGCACCAGCCACTGGCAAAACAAACCAAAGCAATCAGTCACTAATGTTACAGGGTAGCCAATAACATCATTCAGGAAAATGCTTAAAAACTCTTAGATACTGAACACAAAATCCACTGAAAATGGCTAGTACCTGCAGAGCCACTTTGTACAGCTGAGTGAGTGTGAGAATGGCCTTCTTCACGACGTTCACACTCTCGTCCTTTAGCAGCATGTTCAGATTCGCTATCAGCTTCAGCAACAGCTCATTATCCCTTTTACTGAAGGAAAAAAAAAAACATATCACTTTGCAGTGCAGCCCATCGGACCAAAAATATCCACTTTTTTCAAAGCTCAAAATTTAAAGGGAAGGGAAAATCAAATATTTGAAAATTAAGGTTGAAAATCTGACTTATTAATTACCATCTTTAATGAACAGTGTTAGTTCACACCTTTATCACACCTTTACTGTAAACAAACAGACTCACTTTTTTTATTCCTTTACTTCTTTTTTTTTTTAACTGAAAGCACTGGGAGGCAGACCACTGCTAACAGGAATACTGACAGTGTATCAATGTTATGTCAAGTAATAGTAGGAGAACCCCCATGCTTAGAAAAGAGAAAAGGTAGGACATCATGTGACTGTATATTTTTAGGGAGGGTATAATTTAGGAGTAGTCCATGCAACATGGAAATTATTGTTTCCAATCCTGCTGCCAACTACAACTCACCATGCCTCCTCGATGAAGCCAATGACAAATTTTCGCACTTCAATAGACTTGTCCGTCTGAAAGGCTATCATCTCCTGAAAAGAGATACAAAGAGATGACATTTCGGTTTCTGCTTCTGTTTAGATCCCACTGCTATTATATTATGCTGAGGAGGACATTGTACTTACATCCAGGAAGTTATCAAGCAAGGAGGGATCCTTATTAATAATCAACTCTTGCACCTAATGGCCAAAACAAACAAATACAATAAGCATAAGATCCAAACATCTGAGCATTCATTAACAAAAATACAACACTTTAGAAAAGAGATCTGTTTACCTGTTTAAGTGCAGTAAGTTTATCATCAGTGGACATAAAAGCAGCCTGGTTCAGCAGATCTACAACCTATGAGACAAATGTAACAGATCGAAACATTACACTCAGCTCTGAAGAACACTTTGACCAAAATAACCTGCTGAGAAAGAAATGTATTACTTAAAACATTCAATTTTGTACAGAGAATTAAATAGACTGATTTAGTGTTCTCAGAACAACTGACCGTCCAACAAAAAATATTCTTGCAAGTTTCTTTGAACAACCTAAAGTTAGTCTCAAAAAGAGTGGGAGCTTTAAAAAAGGCAAAAGACACATTAGTACAATCTAATTTTCTTATGACACTGAAAAATTAATATCTTGTAATTAATGCTAATTTTGACTGGAAATTAAATTAATTAAGGATAGATTTCTCTCTGCTGTAATTTTAAATATTGTAGTCCATGGGAGCCAAACTTGGGTCCAGAAGGGCCACATTCAGCAGAATTTAGTGATTCCCCAGGGCCGACACACCTACAACACCTTTAACATTAACCGAAAGTTAACCCAGGTGTATTTGAGCAGGGAAATGACCAAACTGTACTGGGCAAACTTGATGTGGTCCAATCCACTGCTACATAACAACAATCCTGTACTCGTAAGTTGTACTTGTAAGTTGAGTGTGTTGGATCAGGAAGAACATTAAACGTGTAGTGGATGTGGTCTACAGGACTGGGGATGGGAAACAGCGGCTGAGGCGAAGGGAGCCCCGCAGTACCTTTTCACTGGTGGTCATATCGATGGCTGCCTCCTCCGCGCCAGTGAAGAACTGGGATGCAACACTGGCGTGCTGCCTTTCTCCGGAGCCTGACGCCATTCTGCCCTGTTCAACAACAACAACAACAACACATTACTGAAAAAAATTAATGAAACGCGAAAAGGCGCCAGACTGTATCAGGAGCCCCATGTAGGCTAAGTTAGTGCGGACAGTTCGTTTAAGGGGCCAAATGAGAAATTTAACTTCAATTTCGTCTAAAATGCGAAGGTTTTAGCATCCGTGAAACGTGAAGATACTAACAGAAGTGTCAATCGGGATTTTAGTTCACAGCAGCAAACTAAATTTACCAGCTACTAAAACCACCTCAGACCCAAAGCTTTTAGAGCCGAGTCCGCTCCGTCCGCACAACGCTGATTTACTACCGTCTCATTAACCGTGAACTGAGAGCTCCTGTCAGCGTTACGGACAAGGTTAAGAGCAAAAAAATCTAGGTTAAATGTTTAAACTCACTGATTTTAACTTGTTTCTTCGTTTTACTGAATCGGTCAATGCACACAAACCACAGGCGCCATTTTGAAACTGCACGGAACTGTGGGATATTACGACAGTCAAGATTATGTACTTCCGTGTTATGTTTTTTGTTTTTATACGAGGAGTTTATATACATATATACAATATGTGTATATTTATATTAATATATATATATATATATATATATATGTGTGTGTGTGTGTGTGTGTGTGTGGTGTATCGATCATATGTTAAAAGTCAGGAAGGAAAAAAGCAGAAAACATCTACGTCTTCACTCTTTTCCTTCATTACAGCTTCCGTTCTTTTTGCGAGACTTCTTTTCAGTTTTTCAAACAAATCTGCAGGTTTGTTTTTCCACACCTTCAAAATTCAGACTTAGAAGTCGGTTCAGCATTTCCTGTGTCTCACAATCCAAGAAATCCTGAACTCATTCGGTGATGCTGAATTCTGGACTCTGTGGTGGTCAGTCCATTGTTCTGAGAACACCAGCAGCATTTTTATTTACAGATTTTTTTTTCTTTAAAAAATGTATTACTTTTCCTCAGTTTCTTGACCTCTACACATCCTTTCAGACCCAGTTTTGTCTTCTCACGGTAGAAAGATGGACAGAAACACTTGATTTTTTACATCTGAATTAAGACTGGAGCTTGTCCCCCTCCCCCCTCTATCCCCCAGTTCCAAAATGGCACCTGTGGTTTGTGTGAATTGACAATCTACGTGTGTGAATAAGCTAAAATAATTGTGTTAAAGTAATTAGATTTCTCTGCTCTTAACCTGCTTAACCTTGTGTTTGGATGTCTGAACTCCAGTCAGTGAAATGTATGGTCTGGCTGAAGATTACTTTAAATAACAAGTACTTCAACTACAGTGACTCTTCAACTCCATTCACACACACAAAAAAAAACAACACACAAACAAGTCAATTCTTCAGATTATATTCTTCAATACAAAAAACAGTGAGTTTTGATCTGACACAAAACCACATGCGGATAATGTTTTACAAACATGGTACAAGGTATAAAAACTTTTACAACCACACAATGAGCTAGGTATGCTCACTAAACATGGGGGAAAAAAAGACGATGTCAGGCCAATCAGTTCAGACATTTTAAGAATGGAATAAAAAGAACATAATAGTAAACTCCACAGGTATGCAACAACAGTTAAAGTGTTACAGAATTATGTTGTTAAAATTTCCACTTATCTATCTAGACAAGATTGTGTGCTTAAACCCATGAGGAAGAAAAATGTGGTTCTTAAAAGACACAAATTAAAAATCAGCATAGTAAAACAATTTTTCTACATACAGAACCCTATCAAAATTGATCAGATGTAAAGTCATGCGTCCCCACCACCTTTAATCAACCATGAAGCATTCAAGCACAACTGCGCGTTCAGCGTCAGAAGCAAACTACGTCACACACTGCTACTCATTTAAATTTGCCTGCTTCCCATTTATAAATATAGACTAGGGAATGAAGGTCAATCTCTGTGTTAACATAATACTTTAAGAGCAAAACAGGCAACTGCCACTGAAACTAAAAGACATTTAATGGGGCGCAAAAGAATGCAGTCACATGAAAGGCTAAGGCAAGAGGGGAAAAACTTAACCAAAAAAAAAACAAAAAAAAAAGTTAACAAGGAAGACTCAAGAAGGTTTTAGCACACGGGAGTGGTGTAATAGGGAGGAAGATTGGGTGAAGGTGAGGATAAGGATGGAGACTATAAAAAAGTAGGCAGAGGAATGGTGCTGATGGAATGGACTTGGAGTCATGGAGGACGCGGCTACTACTGCTGTGCGCCCTGGGAACCCTGCGTGTTCTGCTGGCTGCCGTAGTTGCCATAGTTGCCATACTGGTTGTAGTACTGGTTCCACTGGCTCTGGTTCTGGTAGTACTGCTGCCACTGCTGAGCGTACTGCAAACACAATGAATGAAAAAATTAATCAAGCAATGCAAAATAAATAAATAAACAACGCCGACCACGTGAAAATAAAGCCAAGACTTTAGAGTACTGTTTCTGTAGTAGCCTGGATCAAAAGTACTATTCTAAAGCACTACTTAGGCTGGCTAAGTTTCTAGACTAGGAACTGTATGTCAGCATGGGTCAACACCCCCATGACCTGTCAATAACCTTTAAACAGGCCACATTTTTTCCCAATATGTTAAATTCAGCAAATAAACAGTAATTGTGCATTAAAATGCGCAGACATGTACTCTCTGAAGAGGATGTGTGCTAATTGGGTTCAGTGTATAGTCACCTTGACAACTTCAAGTAGGACTGAATTTAGGACAGAAGCTATTACAGAACAACCGCTCTAAAGTTCATAATCTTATTATATAAGAAAATAGTATTGGAGAAGCATCCTAACTAGACAAGAACTTTCTAAATTCTGTCCTACTTTAACACCTGAGAGCTGTCTTAACTTTTGCTTTCTCATGTGCCTCCTTAGAAAAACATTTCTGATAAAATAATAGATTGCTCAGTAATGAGCCACTTTGCCTGTGACTGATACTACCTGGGCTTACTTGTGTAGTTAATTTCACAGTAAATCAAAGCTGTAAAACTGCAAAACTAATCCTGCCAAATTATACTTAAGAGTGTGTCACTACAGATCATCACATCACAACCTCTTTGTGTACATCATTATTCATTGTAGTAGCTGACCTGCTGATACTGCTGGTTGTAGTTCTGCTGCTGCTGCTGGTTGTACGACTGGCCTGTGGTTGCAGGTGTCTGGCTGTAGCCCTGGCTGTATTGTGGGTATTGGCCATAGCTTCCGTAGTTGTAACCCTGGCTGTAGTTGCCTTGATTGTAACCTTGGCTGTAACCTTGATTGTAGCTTTGAGGCTGTACAATACAAAACAAGTTATTACAACAGAAACCATGAGAAATTACGGTACCTACTTAATATGCCACAGTTATGCTCTGGAAATACTCTTGATGTTCTGGTACCTGAGACTGACTGTAGCTGCCACTGGCTCCGGAGCCACCTTTGTTGTAGGAGCCCTGGCGGTTGTGGTTGTAGCTGCCCCCCTGTTGTTGGCTGCGGTTGTAGCCTCCTCGGCCACCCGAGTCTCTGTAGTTGTTTCCCCAGCGATTCTGGTTGTATCCACCACGGCTGTAACCTACAGAAAAGAGGAACATGCATCCTTAACATCAGAAAAACATGACTGCTCAGAACTGTCCAAAGTGGTCATATCCTGCTCTGTGTTCAGGACTTCATCAAGCAGCCACTGTTTGCACAGAAAAAGAACATTTCTTAGAAAAAGACACAGAAGGCCAGATTGATAAAATGATAATGCTAATTTATTACACACACACACACACACACACACACACATTCATTCTAATTAGTACTCTGGTATTAGTATTACTTACTAGCAAACATACTGATATTAATACTATTATTACTGATTTCGGATTGTTATTGTGGGCACTCTGAAAAATCGTCACTGCATATCATCTTGTACATGTGTGTTTTTTTTCCTTTTTCTTAATGTAGTATCATGATAATGTTGTAAACTGTGATAAATGGTAATTATTGTGATTTTCAATTTTTAATATGCACACATGCCTATTTACTTGATGCTAAAGGAGAAATACAGCCATTCACTCATAACAGCACAAGCTAGCGCTACCAAAAAAAAGCCTAAAAATAATAATGTATTATGCACTAGAACACACGTCTTGTTTTCTTTAAGGTACACAAACTAGTATTCAGTATTAAAAAGGAGCGTTACAAAAGGTATATAACAATGACCGACAAATAATGTCAAACGATAAGAAAAAATATAAGAATTTTAGCATTACTGCCCCACCGTAACAAAAACAGTTTAAAAAAACTCAGCCCCTATACCTCCACGAAAGTTGCCACCTCCTCCAGGACCGCTGCGGTTCTGATAGCCCCCTCGGCCTCCCTGGGGGCCACTGTGGTTGTCATAGCGCTGGAAGCTGCCTCCACGGCCGCGGAAACCACCCTGGCGATTGTCGAAACGCTTTTCTGGTGGGGGGCCAGCCTTCCGCCCCTCCTCGTTGTACTGCTTGACGAGGGCATCTGCCTCTTCGCGCTGCAGCTCAATGAAGATCACCTCATCCAGGAAGTCTCCGGCCTCAGGCAGCACGAAGTTGGCTACGGGGAGGAGGGGGGAGGCAGAGGGCACGCAGTGAGGGACAGAACAGCCGCGCCGCCGAGAAACAAAGAGAATAACTGTTAGCATTGTGACAATGGTGACCAAAATAAACATTAGAGAAAGCAGGATAGAGGGAGGGAAGAAAAGAAGAAGAGAAACAGTGATAGAGAAAGAGGAGAGGACAACATGGTGGGACAGTAAGAGGGACCATGGACAAATATTGCCTTAGTTGATTAAGGCAAAACTTGTCCCAGAAAAGGGGTAAAACAATGAAAGGTAAATTTAAAACAAAAACAAGAGAGTTGCCAGAAAAAGAGAGTCATGAAGGATTAAGAAGGATGGTTGCACAAATTAGTCAGCACCTAAAGTCTACATTTATAATTAAGTCAACTGCACCAAAACAAACATAAGCGAAACCAATTTAACAGTGCAGAGGAAATTTGCTAATAAGGATAAACCAATTTCATATTATATATAATACAAATACATCTAACCAACGTCATATTGTTTATAAAGTTTGCACTGATACAGAACAGTAATTAAGATGTTGCAGGAAATGAGGTTACAGGGGCAGAGAACAAGATGAGTACAAAAGACAAGAAAAAAAAAAAAATCAAGAGCTCTTTTATCTGGCAAAACAGAAGGAGGCGGTTGGGGGTCTTCCAAGTTTAGGGGGAAAATAAAAGACAAAAAACAAAAACAAAAACAATAAAACAGCAAAAGCAGATCTGGGTGTGTAGTTTGAAGCATTGTTTTTTTGTTTTTTTTGGTTATCCATGGCATTCCTACCTTTCATTTCTAACACAGCATGATCGGGTACATCCTTTCCTTCCTCATCAGTTCGCTTTAACGTTCGCTCTTTTAAATCCTCATCCGTGGGACAAATTACAATAGCCTTGCGTTGAAACCCTTCAAAAGGACGCATTTTTCGTCTCTGGGCTGA